ATCCATTTTAGAATAAGGCTGTAACGTAACAAAATGTGGAAAAAGTCAAGGGGTCTGAATACTTTCCGAATGCACTGTAAATGTTTCAGATGGGCAGCTAGGTTCCTGCAAGAACCCCCACCCACTAAAGAGGTTCCTCGATGAACCCCACCTCCTATGGGGTTCTTGGAAGAACCTTTTGGGGGGCCATTTTCAGTGCCAAGAACCCTAAGGTTCTTCTAAGAACTTTGAGGATCTTAGAAGAACCCTTGTTGATCCCCTTATTTGTTAGAGTGTATTGATTGATTGATTTTGAACCACGGAGAGTTACCGCAAGTCCCAAAGAAAACAGGAGCTGCCTCCACTATTCCAGCACCATTTCAACTTCAACATTTCAACGTCATCACCTATGCTTAGTCTAATACAGTGACAACTAAAAGACACCAAAAAACGATTTAGATACCAAAAACTATTTAGCTAAATATGATGTGACTGTTCAAGGTACTGATTTCTTTGTGTGCGTTCGTGCAAGTAGAAAGAACATGTTGACTCACCCTCCTTGTAGAGAAACACCAACGCCATCCTCCTCTCTTTCCTGTTGCCTAAACGGTCCATGACTCTGTCATACAGTACACGCTGTTAGTTTTTGTTGTTCTAGGCTACCTGGCTAAAATGCTAGCCCTCCTAACTTCCTGAGTATTACTTTATTCATCCTTGGGAATTTGTTTTATCACAGCATGCATCATCAATGACTTACAAGGACAGGACACGTAACAATGAACAACACATGATAAAAAACAACACAGATTTAGAAAACCCTTGTTGATACCCTGGGGATAATTCTTGAGTATGAGTGTTTGTTCATTAGACCACGTGAGACCGCAGTGTTCATTAGAACCTGGAGTGCGTTCTATTAAGCCCTGTATGTTTTCAACATTAGAGCCCTGGAGTGTGTGATGTTCATTAGAGCACCACGATGGGTGTGTTTCATAAACCTGGAGTGGTGTGTTCTAAGCCATGTGGGTGTGGTGTCGGTTCATAGATCCTTGTGGTGGGTGTGTTTCATAGTAGCCGAATGGGTGTGTTTCATTAGAGCCCTGGCGATGGGTGTGTTAATTAAGGCCCTGTGAGTGTCTGCTTGGAGTCGGTGTCGTTCATTAGGACCTGTGGATGGCTGGTTTCATTACAGACCCTGTGGAGTGTTTGTTGTTTCTTAGAGCCCTGTGGAATGTGGGGTTCTTAAGCCCTGTGAGTGGGTGTTTTTTCATTGAGCCCTGTGGAGTGGTGTTTTCATTAGAGCCCTGCGAGTGGTGTGTTCATTAGAGCATGGAGGGTAGTCATTAGAGCCCGTGAGGTGTATTCATTAGAACCCTTGTGACAGTGGGTGTGCTTCAATTAGTATCCCTGATATGTTGTTTCATTAGGCCCTGTGGATGGTGTGTTCTAGAGCCCTTTGGGGGTGATATAAGCCTGTGGAAAGGTGTTTCAATTGAGCCCTGTGGAAAGGGGTGTGTATAACTGTGTGTGAGTGTTTCATTAAGCCCTGTGGATGGGTGTTGTCATTAGAAGCCTGTGGAGTGGTGGGTCATAGAGCAACCTGTGAGTGGGCTGTGTTTCATTAGAGCCCTGTGGAGTGGGTGTGTTTCATTAGAGCCCTGTGGAGTGGTGTGTTTTCATTAGAGCCTGTGGAGTGGGTGTGTGTCATTAGAGCCCTGTGGAGTGGGTGTGTTTCATTAGAGACCTGTGGAGTGGGTGTGTTTCATTAGAGCCCTGTGGAGTGGGTGTGTTTCATTAGAGCCCTGTGGAGTGGGTGTGTTTCATTAGAGCCCTGTGGAGTGGGTGTGTTTCATTAGAGCCCTGTGGAGTGGGTGTGTTTCATTAGAGCCTGTGGAGTGGGTGTGTTTCATTAGAGCCCTGTGGAGTGGTGTGTTTCATTAGAGCCTGGGTGTTCATAGGCTGGAGTGGGTGTGTTTCATTAGAGCCCTGTGGAGTGGGTGTGTTTCATTAGAGCCCTGTGGAGTGGGTGTGTTTCATTAGAGCCCTGTGGAGTGGGTGTGTTTCATTAGAGCCCTGTGGAGTGGGTGTGTTTCATTAGAGCCCTGTGGAGTGGGTGTTTCATTAGAGCCCTGTGGAGTGGGTGTGTTCATTAGAGCCCTGTGGAGTGGTGTGTTTCATTAGAGCCCTGTGGAGTGGGTGTGTTTCATTAGAGCCCTGTGGAGTGGGTGTGTTCATTAGAGCCCTGTGGAGTGGGTGTGTTTCATTAGAGCCCTGTGGAGTGGGTGTGTTTCATTAGAGCCCTGTGGAGTGGGTTGTGTGTCAGAGAGCCTGTGGAGTGGGGTGTGTTTCATTAGAGCCCTGTGGAGTGGGGTGTTTCATTAGAGCCCTGTGGAGTGGGTGTTTCCATTAGAGCCCTGTGGAGTGGGTGTGTTTCATTAGAGCCCTGTGGAGTGGGTGTGTTTCTTTAGAGACCTGTGGAGTGGGTGTGTTTCTTTAGAGTGTGTGTGTGTGTCATTGTCCATGATCATGTGTGTTTTTACTTGCAGTCTTTTTATGAACATGCCCTGTATTGATTCCAGGCTGCAGCCAATTGTAGCACTGGCTTTCTTAATGATTATGTCAAGCTTGTTTAAGTCCTCCTTAGCTAAATTCCCTTTCCAGCACACAATGGCCACTACTCTCACCACGACACTGCTATAGAACACATGAAGCATTTTGTCACATACATTAAAAGATCTAAGCTTCCTTAAAAAGTACATTTTGGATTGGGCTTTTTTGTAGACACTGTGAGAGTTCTCCTTCCAGTTAAGTTTGTTGTCTACTACTACACCCAAGTACTATACGAGTCACCAGTACCAATCTCTTCACAATTAATAGAAATTGGATTAAAAACATATTTATTTTTCCAAAAATCTACCACTCGCTCCTTGGACTTCACTACATTCAGGTCCAAGTAATTGGCCTCACACCATTTCACAAAGGACTCGGTTGTATCCCTGTGATGAGCATCGTCTCCTCTCATGACACAGCTTACTATAGCAGAGTCATCAGAGAATTTCTGTAAGTGGCTCAGTTCATGGGCAACGATGAGCCAGCTAGTTAACATTATCCTACTAGCCTACATCTAGCTACATATTGAACTTCCATCCTCTCAGGTCAGGGGCACAATGTAGGAGTTTATGGCTGGATCAGAATCGCCGTTATAATCATTGGCCAGTATGGTCAATGAGTCCAAATTCCCTATCTCCATCCATGGCTAATTTAGGAAAGGGACCATCTTTTGCTAGCTAGCTAGCCACCGGAGGACAACGACACAACGAAAGTCAAGATTATTTTTCTGTCAATGACGTTTGGCTTTTGATGTGATTGGTGTGAAGCCAAATCCAAACTGGCTTCCCTTGACACATTTTTTTTGGTGCGCCAGGACCATTCACAGTTGAACTTTTTTTTATCAAGGGAGGCCAAATGCTCGCTGGCTTCCCTTGCATTCAACGCTATGGGTGGCAACAATGTCATACTTATTTTGACCAGACAGCATCAGATAGATGGGCTACACATAGAGACACAGAGGGGCGCTGTTTCGCTCCCTCGGATGCTTTCTCAGGTGAGATACATTCAGTTGAAGGAAACTTATAAAACACAGAGAGGCGAAAGATACATTTGATGTTTTTTTTATTTTGTCATTGGTACATGTGTTTTGGGGAAGCCTGGCCTTCCCTTGGCATCCATGAATGCACGCCACTTCCAGCTGCTTGTTGTGATGTTACCCTCGTGCTGCTGGTGCTAGGCAACGGTTCTTCTTCCATCTTGTCGATCAGCAGGCAGAGTGGGGGATAGGAGGGTATTGCATTTGCTGCTAGGCTCCTCAACCTCGGTGGTCGGGCTAGCAGGCTGCTCGGTGAGCTCGCCATCCCGTCTCAACATGGTGGTACACTGCTCTGGCTATAATTATTCAGTGAGCCACTACCAAAACTTAACGAAGCTAGCTGTAGCCGTCTGCAAAGGTGAACAACCCTTTTCCCTTTCTGTGAGACCCCCCCCCCCCCCCCCCCGGGATCCAATGAGCTTCCTAAAAAAGGTAATGAAGGCGGTACCTTACGACATTGCATGGCTAGGTGCCCAAATCAGAATGTATTTTTGGATTTTAACTACAACATATTACATGATTACATCCCCCCTCAGATCATAGAGCCTCTGTCCCGGCCTGCGCTGCTGACAGGCCCAGCGGCGCTACGCTGTCAAAACTGGGCATGGTAATGAATATGCCATTTGTTATGTTTATGGTGAAACAAAACTGTAATGTAATGGTGAATTGGACTGTGCATCGGAACAGAAGAGCTGTGAATGTATTTCTACATCACTGGTGGTTGTCTCAACATTGTGTTTCCAAACATGCTTTTGCACAAGGTGTGGGTCAGAAAAGAGGAATTACATTGTGTAAAATATGGGCAATCTAGACCTACAGTGAGGAAAACACGCTATTCGTCTATTGCTGAATTGGTTAATTCAAAAGAACTAAATTACATTCTGTGAGTGAAAAACATGGCATGACACTGGTTTGGAAAGAGTTGTCCCACATTAAACCCCTTCAGTTAATGATGTTATTACACAAATGCAATGCATCTTATATGAACTTTTCCCCATGTATATTATAACCCACAATCCTGGTTATACAAAGACGATTTGACTTTCTTTCAAAAATTATTTTTCAAGGAAAGTTGCAAGAAATATTACTCCAGCTCTCTCTGTCGTTGGCAGCTCATGTTGTTTCCATGGAAACGACAACATACGCTGTGGCTAACTTGCTTGTCAGACTGACTCAGGTAATTGCTTCTTTAAAATATTGTAAACAGTAAAAAGTTGGATTCATCAACTAGCCAGATAAATAGATAGCTAATAAACGTCTAAATTGGGGTATCATGGCCTGTACTATTTTGTGTTTTGTCTCTTTGAGAGTCAACTTGGCAGGCTAACGACGTTAGCTACACTGACTAGCCCCCATTCCGTTCTGGCAAGTCAAGAAGACGAGTGTAAAACTAGCTGTAAAGGTAAAGCACTTCTTAAATTAAATAAAGGATGGCTCCAATTGAATTTCATGAACTTAAGCTAGCTAAACTACATTTATTTCAAAATAATGTAAGGTGGCCAGTTCCTGATCCAGTGACGTTGACTTGTCCCCAGACAGTAACTGTTAAACAGAGTGCAGGATGTCAGAGATAGAGGACGATGCGTCGCTGTCGGACGGAGAGGAGGCGGCGAACAACGATGTACAGGAGGAAAATATGTCCGAAAAAGAGGACCAGGTTGACACATTGACATTGTTTCGTTTTGGTTGTTGATTATCGATCACACGGGTAACCTAACCTACATTTCAAAGTGTAAACTGATAACTCAGTAAAAAGTGTACTTCTTGAGTGTTCCCTGATACCCATCAGCCTCTCTGCTGAGTCTGGTTCCTATCAAGGTTTCTTCCTTACGGGGAGTTTTATCCTGGTCACTGTGCTTCTTCTTGCTCTTTGGGTTCCAGGCCGGGTTGTCACTAACTGTTGATGTAAAAAGGGCTTCATAAATAAAATGTGATTGATTCTGATCAATTTATTCTGATTAATATATTCATTTATTCATTCTTTCATTGCTGGTTAGCTGAGTGTTGCGTTGATGTGTCCCTCCCCAGATCGAGCCATGCCCTCTGACCCAGGAAATTATGATCCCGGGTCTGTCTCTGCTGTGTCGCACCGGGAACGGCCTGGCACATGCCTTCGTTAAGCTCGAACTGAAAGACAGGTGAGGTGAACGCCACAGGACACAAAACACCTGGTGTGCATCTCAAATGGCACCCTATTCCATTTATAGTGCACTTGGCCTACTTTTGAACAGGGCCTGTAGGGATGCCATTTGAGATGCAACCGTGCCCAGTCCCAAATCAAATGCTAGCCCTTGGGTTGGCCCCTAGCCTCTCATCCCTAGCCCCTAACCCAAGACACTTGTTACATCTAAAATAATTGGATGGGTATAAGCAGCGCATCTTACCCCTCTCTGGTCCTGTGCAGGCATATCCAGCCTCTAACTCAGCCGCCAGACATCGATCCCAGCACAACTACCCACATAGCACCACGTACTACATGCACACCCTCATCGCCATCCAACTCCTCTACTCTCTCTCCCCCTCTCTCTCCTCCTCCCCCCTCTCTTCCCCTCTCTCCTCTCCCCCCCCCTCTCTCTCCCCTCTCTCTCCATCCTCTCACTCTGTCCCCTCCCCTCCCTCTCTCCCCAGGCGTCTGACTGACATAGCCCTGGTCAGCTCGTTTGTCCACCTGCGTTTCCTGGACGTGTCATCCAACCACCTCTCTGACCTTTCACCCCTGGCCACCCTCACACAGCTGCTGTGGCTGAAGGCAAGGACCCAAATCACACCCTATTCCTCATATAGTGCACCATTTTTTACCAGAATCTTGGTATATAGGATTGTCTTTGTCTTGTATAAGACGGTGTAGCATTTTTCAATAAGAGAAAATATCAAAAATATCCTTTCTTCTCTTCCTCCCCCTATCCCCTCCCCCTCTCCAGGGTGATGGTAACATGGTGGCTGGGTTCAGAGGTCAGCCCCTGGGTCAGCTGACCTACCTGCAGTGGCTGAGTCTGGCCCTGAACCGCCTCAGAGACCTGGAGGGCCTAGAAGGCCCCGCCCTGGAGAGCCTCAACCTCATTGGTCAGTCTGGGAGGGGGTGTGGGAGAGCCTCAACCTAATTGGTCAGTCTGGGAGGGGGTGTGGGAGAGCCTCAACCTCATTGGTCAGTCTGGGAGGGGGTGTGGGAGAGCCTCAACCTCATTGGTCAGTCTAGGAGGGGGTGTGGGAGAGCCTCAACCTCATTGGTCAGTCTGGGAGGGGGTGTGGGAGAGCCGAAACCTCATTGGTCAGTCTGGGAGGGGGTGTTGGAGAGCCTCAATCTCATTGGTCAGTCTGGGAGGGGGTGTGAGAGAGCCAAAACCTCATTGGTCAGTCTGGGAGGGGGTGTGGGAGAGCCAAAACCTCATTGGTCAGTCTGGGAGGGGGTGTGGGAGAGCCAAAACGTCATTGGTCAGTCTGGGAGGGGGTGTGGGAGAGCCAAAACCTCATTGGTCAGTCCGGGAGGGGGTGTGGGAGAGCCTCGACCTAATTGGTCAGTCTGGGAGGGGGTGTGGGAGAGCCTCGACCTCATTGGTCAGTCTGGGAGGGGGTGTGGGAGAGCCTCAACCTCATTGGTCAGTGTGGGAGAGCCTCAACCTCATTGGTCAGTGTGGGAGAGCCTCAACCTCATTGGTCAGTCTGGGAGGGGGTGTAGAGCCTCAACTTCATTGGTCAGTGCAGAAGTAAAATAAAATAACAGTAGGGAGGCTATATATACAGGGGGGTACCGGTGCAGAGTCAATGTGCGGGGGCACCGGCTAGTTGAGGTAGTTGAGGTAATATGTACATGTGGGTAGAGTTAAAGTGACTATGCATAAATAATTAACAGAGTAGCAGCAGCGTAAAAAGACGGGGTGGGGGGGGCAGTGCAAATAGTCCGGGTAGCCATGATTAGCTGTTCAGGAGTCTTATGGCTTGGGGGTAGAAGCTGTTGAGAAGTCTTTTGGACCTAGACTTGGCACTCCGGTACCGCTTGCCGTGCGGTAGCAGAGAGAACAGTCTATGACTAGGGTGGCTGGAGTCTTTGACAATTTTGAGGGCCTTCCTCTGACACCGCCTGGTATAGAGGTCCTGGATGGCAGGAAGCTTGGCCCCAGTGATGTACTGGGCCGTACGCACTACCCTCTGTAGTGCCTTGCGGTCGGAGGCCGAGCAGTTGCCATACCAGGCGGTGATGCAACCAGTCAGGATGCTCTCGATGGTGCAGCTGTATAATTTTTTGAGGATCTGAGGACCCATGCCAAATCTTTTCAGTCTCCTGAGGGGGAATAGGCTTTGTCATGCCCTCTTCACGACTGACTTGGTGTGTTTGGACCATGATAGTTTGTTGGTGATGTGGACACCAAGGAACTTGAAGCTCTCAACCTGTTCCACTACAGCCCCGTCAATGAGAATGGGGGCGTGCTCAGTCCTCTTTTTTTTCCTGTAGTCCACAATCATCTCCTTTGTCTTGGTCACGTTGAGGGAGAGGTTGTTATCCTGGCACCACACGGCCAGGCCTCTGACCTCCTCCCTATAGGCTGTCTCATCGTTGTCGGTGATCAGGCCTACCACTGTTGTGTCGTCGACAAACTTAATGATGGTGTTGGAGTCGTGCCTGGCCATGCAGTCATGGGTGAACAGGGAGTACAGGAGGGGACTGAGCACGCACCCCTGAGGGGCCCCCGTGTTGAGGATCAGCGTGGCGGATGTGTTGTTACCTACCCTCTGAAGGTCGAGGCCCCTGGGCACGTAATCTGGCCACGGTAACTAGGCTACAATATTTAGATAGGTTAGCCTAACTTACCTACCTAGCTAACATGGGATAGTTGATCAACTGGACATGTCTGACAGGTTATAAATAGCTCTTAAGGTCTGCCAGTGAATTATATTAGAAAAGGAAAACTACCACATTTTGAAATTGCACCTTGTGTATTCTACTACTACAACTCTAAACAGCAGTAAGTTGAAAGCCTGACTGAGTTCCTAAAAAAAGCAGCGGTCCGTATTGAGTCCGTTCTGGGTCTGGACCGGCCCACTGTCCGTATTGAGCCCTTTCTGGGTCTGGACCGGCCCACTGTCCGTATTGAGCCCGTTCTGGGTCTGGATCGGCCCACGGTCCGTATTGAGCCCGTTCTGGGTCTGGACCGGCCCACGGTCCGTATTGAGCCCGTTCTGGGTCTGGATCGTCTGTGTGTCATTGCTAGGTAAGGGTATACAGAGTGTGTCTGTGTCGTTGCTAGATAACGTATACAGAGTGTGTCTGTGTGTCGTTGCTAGGTAAGGGTATACAGAGTGTGTCTGTGTCGTTGCTAGGTAAGGGTATACAGAGTGTGTCTGTGTCGTTGCTAGGTAACGTATACAGAGTGTGTCTGTGTCGTTGCTAGGTAACGTATACAGAGTGTGTCTGTGTGTCATTGCTAGGTAAGGGTATACAGAGTGTGTCTGTGTGTCGTTGCTAGGTAACGTCTACAGAGTGTGTCTGTGTCGTTGCTAGGTAACGTATACAGAGTGTGTCGTGTCGTTGCTAGGTAACGTATACAGACTGTGTCTGTGTGTCGTTGCTAGGTAAGGGTATACAGAGTGTGTCTGTGTGTCGTTGCTAGGTAACGGTATCCAGAGGGTGTCTGTGTCGTTGCTAGGTAACGTATACAGAGTGTGTCTGTGTGTCGTTGCTAGGTAAGGGTATACAGAGTGTGTCTGTGTGTCGTTGCTAGGTAACGGTATCCAGAGGGTGTCTGTGTCGTTGCTAGGTAACGGTATCCAGAGGGTGTCGGGGCTACAGTACCACCTCCTGACTAACCTGGTGACTCTGGAACTGAGAGGAAACAAACTGGAGACCACCGACGGAATCTACCTGCCCAACCTCCGACGCCTCTACCTGGTAAACTTTAACCCCTAACCTCTCACCATAACCTCTACCTGCCCAACCTCCGACGTCTCTACCTGGTAACCTTTAACCCCTAACCTCTCACCATAACCTCTACCTGCCCAACCTCCGACGTCTCTACCTGGTAACCTTTAACCCCTAACCTCTCACCATAACCTCTACCTACCCAACCTCCGACGTCTCTACCTGGTAACCTTTAACCCCTAACCTCTCACCATAACCTCTACCTGCCCAACCTCCGACGTCTCTACCTGGTAACCTTTAACCCCTAACCTCTCACCATAACCTCTACCTGCCCAACCTCCGACGTCTCTACCTGGTAACCTTTAACCTCTCACCATAACCTCTACCTGCCCAACCTCCGACGTCTCTACATGGTAACCTTTAACCCCTAACCTCTCACCATAACCTCTACCTACCCAACCTCCGACGTCTCTACCTGGTAACCTTTAACCTCTCACCATAACCTCTACCTGCCCTACCACCGACATCTCTACCTGGTAACCTTTAACCCCTAACCTCTCACCATAACCTCTACCTGCCCTACCACCGACATCTCTACCTGGTAACCTTTAACCCCTAACCTCTCACCATAACCTCTACCTGCCCAACCTCCGACGTCTATACCTGGTAACCTTTAACTCCTAACCTCTCACCATAACCTCTACCTGCCCAACCTCCGACGTCTCTACCTGGTAACCTTTAACCCCTAACCTCTCACCATAACCTCTACCTGCCCAACCTCCGACGTCTCTACCTGGTAACCTTTAACCCCTAACCTCTCACCATAACCTCTACCTGCCCAACCTCCGACGCCTCTACCTGGTAACCTTTAACCCCTAACCTCTCACCATAACCTCTACCTGCCCAACCTCTGACGTCTCTACCTGGTAACCTTTAACCCCTAACCTCTCACCATAACCTCTACCTGCCCAACCTCCGACGTCTCTACCTGGTAACCTTTAACCCTTAACCTCTCACCATAACCTCTACCTGCCCAACCTCCGACGTCTCTACCTGGTAACCTTTAACCTCTCACCATAACCTCTACCTGCCCAACCTCCGATGTCTCTACCTGGTAACCTTTAACCCCTAACCTCTCACCATAACCTCTACCTGCCCAACCTCCGATGGCTATACCTGGTTACTTTTAACCCCTAACCTGTGACACCTCTACCTGACCTTTTAACCCCTAACCTGTGACACCTCTACCTGACATTTTAACCCCTAACCTGTGACACCTCTACCTGACATTTTAACCCCTAACCTGTGACACCTCTACCTGACCTTTTAACCCCTAACCTGTGACACCTCTACCTGACCTTTAAACCCCTAACCTGTGACACCTCTACCTGACCTTTTAACCCCTAACCTGTGACACCTCTACCTGACCTTTTAACCCCTAACCTGTGACACCTCTACCTGACCTTTTAACCCCTAACCTGTGACACCTCTACCTGACCTTTTAACCCCTAACCTGTGACACCTCTACCTGACCTTTTAACCCCTAACCTGTGACACCTCTACCTGACCTTTAACCCCTAACCTGTGACACCTCTACCTGACCTTTAACCCCTAACCTGTGACACCTCTACCTGACCTTTAACCCCTAACCTTAACCCTAGGCTCTTACTGGTAACCTTTATCCTCTCACCCATAACCCCAACTTATTCCTTATTAAACTGGTTCTAACCTTTCACCTGTCACTTACCTCAGTTTAATTCTGACCTCTAACCCCCTGGCCCTGGCCCTTGACCTGTAACCTGACCCCTGTGCAGGCCCAGAATGCTATCAAGCGCCTGGAGGGTCTGGGTAAGCTGGAGCATCTGACCACCCTGCACCTCCGAGACAACCAACTGGAGACTCTAGATGGCATCAGCCCCAACATGAAGACCCTGCAGTACCTCAACATCAGGTAGGCATCAGCCCCAACATGAAGGTCATCACCAACACTACACCATTAATACAACATTAATACAGCCCTGCAGTACCTCAACTAAACATCTGACTTCAATCCCACTGACAGATTCATGTGTAAATCCCTCCTCTGGAATACCTCCCTTTACCTCAGCTACTGCATCCTAGTCGACCGCCGTCTCTCTCTCTGTCGTCTCTTCTCCCCTCCCTCCCCCTTCAGGGGTAACCTGGTGTCTGCCCAGCGTGCCTTGCGTAGCCTGGTGGGCGTATCCAGGACATTGCGAGCGCTGGTCCTAGCGGAGAACCCTCTGGTGGAGACGGGGGACTACCGTCTGTGTGTCCTGAGCCGCCTGCCGCTGCTGGAGCGCCTTGACAAGGAACCCATCTCTCCTGAGGAGAAGTCTGAGGCACAGGAGAAACTCAGAGTATGATATATATATATATATATACACACACACAAACACATTTAGTCTGAGACAAGGAGAGACAGACATAGAGACAACACACATAATGTGGCTCAAGAAGAAGCACATTAAGGTCCTGGAGTGGCCTAGCCAGTCTCCAGAACTTAATCCCATAGAAAATCTGTGGAGGGAGCTGAAGGTTCGAGTTGCCAAATGTCAGCCTCGAAACCTTAATGACTTGGAGAAGATCTGCAAAGAGGAGTGGGACAAAATCCCTCCTGAGATGTGTGCAAACCCGGTGGCCAACTACAAGAAACGTCTGACCTCTGTGATTGCCAACAAGGGTTTTGCCACCAAGTACTAAGTCATGTTTTGCAGAGGGGTCAAATACTTATTTCCCTCATTAAAAAGCAAATCAATTTATAACATTTTTGACATGCGTTTTTCTGGATTTTTTTGTTGTTATTCTGTCTCTCACTGTTCAAATAAACCTACCATTAAAATTATAGAATGATCATTTCTTTGTAAGTGGGCAAACATACAAAATCAGCAGGGGATCAAATACTTTTTTCCCTCACTGTATCCAAAGCGACTTATAGTCATGCGTGCATACATTTTATCTATGGGTGGTCCCGGGAATCAAACCCACTATTCTGGTGTTGCAAGCGCCATGCTCTACCAACTGAGCTACACTTAAGTCAGTGGAGGCTGTTGAGGGGCGGACGGCTCATAATAATGTCTGGAACGGATCAAATGGAATGGGACCATTCCGCTCCGGCCATTACCACGAGTCCGTCCCCATTCCGCTCCAGCCATTACCACGAGTCCGTCCCCATTCCGCTCCAGCCATTACCACGAGTCCGTCCTCCCCAATTAAGGTACCACCAACCCCCTGTGACTTAAGTACATATCACCTTTGTTGTGGTCTGACCAAACTCTATCCTCCTGATTCCTGCTTACAAGCAAAAACTAAAGCAAGAAGTACCAGTGACACGCTCAATACGGAAGCGGCTGTACTTTAGCTCAGTACAGCCGCACTGAGCTAAAGGGTAGAGCTGCCGCTTTCAAGGAGCGGGACTCTAACCCGGACGCTTATAAGAAATCCCGCTATGCCCTCTGATGAACCATCAAACAGGCAAAGAGTCAATACAGGACTAAGATTGAATCGTACTTCATCGGCTCCGACGCTCGTCGGATGTGACAGGGCTTGCAAACTATTACGGACTACAAAGGTCAACATTCACAAGGCCGCAGGGCCATACGGATTACCAGGACGTATACTCCGAGCATGCGCTGACCAACTGGCAAGTGTCTTCACTGACATTATCAACCTGTCCCTGACCGAGTCTGTAATACCAACATGTTTCAAGCAGACCACCATAGTCCCTGTGCTCAAGAACACCAAGTTAGCCTGCCTAAATGACTACCGACCCGTAGCACTCACGTCTGTAGCCATGAAGTGCTTTGAAAGGCTGGTCATGGCTCATATCAACACCATTATCCCAGAAACCCTAGACCCACTCCAATTTGCATACCGCCCCAACAGATCCACAGATGACGCAATCTCTATTGCACTCCACACTGCCCTTTCCCACCTGGACAAGAGGAACACCTACGTGAGAATGCTGTTCATTGACTACAGCTCAGCGTTCAACACCATAGTGCCCTCAAAGCTCATCACTAAGCTAAGGACCCTGGGACTAAACACCTCCCTCTGCAACTGGATCTTGGACTTCCTGACGGGCCGCCCCCAGGTGGTAAGGGTAGGTAACAACACATCTGCCACGCTGATCCTCAACACGGGGGCCCCTCAGGTAGGTGCTCAGTCCCCTCCTGTACTCCCTGTTCACCCACCACTGTGTGGCCATGCACGACTCCAACACCATCATTAAGTTTGCCGACGACACAACAGTGGTAGGCCTGATCACCGACAACGATGAGACAGCCTATAGGTAGGAGGTCAGAGACCTGGCAGTGTGGTGCCAGGACAACAACCTCTCCCTCAACGTGATCAAGACAAAGGAGATGATGGGCCGAGCACACCCCCATTCTCATTGACGGGGCTGTAGTGGAACAGGTTGAGAGCTTCAAGTTCCTTGGTGTCCACATCACCAACAAACTATCATGGTCCAAACACACCAAGACAGTCGTAAAGAACAACAACACGACAAAGCCTATTCCCCCTCAGGAGACTGAAAAGATTTGGCATGGGTCCTCAGATCCTCAAAAAGTTATACAGCTGCACCATCGAGAGCATTCTAACTGGTTGCATCACCACCTGGTATGGCAACTGCTCGGCCTCCGACCGCAAGGCACTACAGAGGGTAGTGCGTACGGCCCAGTACATCACTGGGGCCAAGCTTCCTGCCATCCAGGACCTCTATACCAGGCGGTGTCAGAGGAAGGCCCTAAACATTTCCAAAGACTCCAGCCACCCTAGTCATAGACTGTTCTCTCTGCTACCGCACAGCTAGCGGTACCGGAGCGCCAAGTCTAGGTCCAAAAGGCTTCTTAACAGCTTCTACCCCGAAGCCATAAGATACCTGAACAGCTAATCAAATGGCTACCCGCACTATTTGCACTGCCCCCCCACTCCCATTTTTTATGCTGCTACTACTCTCTGTTTATTATCACTTTACCTCTACCTACATATTACCTCAATTTCCTTGACTAACCTGTACCCCCGCACATTGACTCTGTACCGGTACCCCCTGTATATAGCCTCGTTACTGTTATTTTATTGTTGCTCTTTAATTATTTGTTATTTTTCTTCTTCTTTTGTATTTTTATTTATTTATTTTTTACTTCAGTTTATTTTAGTAAATACTTTCTTAACATTTTACATTTTAGTAGACGCTCTTATCCAGAGCGACTTACAGTTAGTGAATACATTTTTATTTTTATTTTTTTATACTGGCCCCCGGTGGGAAACGAACCCACAACCCTGGCGTTGCAAACGCCATGCTCTATCAACTGAGCTACATCCCTGCCGGCCATTCCCTCCCCTACCCTGGACGACGCTGGGCCAATTGTGCGCCGCCCCATGGGTCTCCCGGTCGCGGCCGGCTGCGACAGAGCCTGGATTCGAACCAGGATCTCTAGTGGCACAGTTAGCACTGCGATGCAGTGCCTTAGACCACTGCGCCACTTTATTTTTCTTAAAACTGCATTTTTGGTTAAGGGCTTGTAAGTAAGCATTTCACCTGTTGTATTCGGCACATGTGACAAATAAAAATTGATTTGAAAATGTGATTTTAACTGTTGTTCTTCTGTCTCTAGTTTAATGATGAGGCGGATGTTGTTCCTCTGTCTCTGTAGTTTAATGATGAGGCAGATGTTGTTCCTCTGTCTGTTTCTATAGGAGTTTAATGATGAGGCGGATGTTGTTCCTCTGTCTGTTTCTATAGGAGTTTAATGATGAGGCGGATGTTGTTCCTCTGTCTGTTTCTATAGGAGTTTAATGATGAGGCGGATGTTGTTCCTCTGTCTGTTTCTATAGGAGTTTAATGATGAGGCGGATGTTGAGGCAGAGGCTGAAGAATACTAACTTACCATCGTGTGGTCGCCCTCACCCAGTCACTCCACCAGTCCACATCCAATGAGTGAGTGAGTGAGTGAGTGAGTGAGTGAGTGAGTGAGTGAGTGAGTGAGTGAGTGAGTGTGTGTGTGTGTGTGTGTGTGTGTGTGTGTGTGTGTGTGTGTGTGTGTGTGTGTGTGTGTGTGTGTGTGTGTGTGAGTGTGTGTGTGTGTGTGTGTGTGTGTGAGTGTGTGAGTGTGTGTGTGTGTGTGTGTGTGTGTGTGTGTGCGTGTGTAGCAGGTTGTATGAGAAGGGAGAGTGAGGACAGTGCTGCATGTCTCAGTGTAAACTCCATTCTTCTGTTCTATTCCATGACTCCAGCAGTTCTGTTCATGCTGTGGCGACAGACTAGCTAGTTAAACGTATACCTGCTGTATTAACCAAAGAGATAACTACAGACTAGCTAGTTAAACGTATACCTGCTGTATTAACCAAAGAAGGTTGTGCTTAGAGATAACTACAGACACTCTATTTTCAAAACAATAAACATTTATTGATTGGTATAATGTGTATCTTGGTCTTTGATAGCATTACAAATGTCTTGGTTTTGAAGTCATAGCATTTCAGATGTTAGCAGTGGCGTAAAGTACTTAAGTAAAAATACTTTAAAGTACTACTTAAGTAGTTTTTTGGGGTATCTGTACTTTACTTTACTATTTATATTTTTGACAACTTTTACTTTTACTTCACTACATTCCTAAAGAAAATAACGTACTTTTTACTCCATACATTTTCCCTGACACCCAAAAGTACTCGTTACATTTTGAATGCTTAGCAGGACAGGAAAATGGTCCAATTAACGCACTTATCAAGAGAACACGTGGTCATCCCTACTGCCTCTGATCTGGCGGACTCTCTAAACACAAATGCATCGTTTGTAAATGATGTCTGAGTGTTGAAGTGTGCCCCTGGCTACATTTTAAAAACAAGAAAATGGTGCCGTCTGCTTTGCTTAATTTAAGGAATTTGAAATTATTTATACTTTTACTTTTGATACTTAAGTATATTTTAGCAATTACATTTACTTTCGATATTTAAGTATATTTAGAACCAAATACTTTTAGACTTTTACTCAAGTGGTATTTTACTGGGTGACTTTCACTTTTACTTGAGTAACTTCCTATTAAGGTACAGTGCCTTTCAAAAGTATTCATCCCCCTTGGTGTTTTTCCAATTTTGTTGCATTACAACCTGTAATTTAAATGGATTTTTATTTGGATTTCATGTAATGGACATACACAAAATAGTCAAAATTGGTGAAGTGAAATGAAAAAAATAACTTGTTTCAAAAAATTATAAGAAATAAATAACGGAAAAGTGGTGCGTGCATATGTATTCACCCCCTTTGCTATGAAGGCCCTAAATAAGATCTGGTGCAACCAATTACCTTCAGAAGTCAGATAATTAGTTAAATAAAGTCCACCTGTGTGCAATCTAAGTGTCACATGATCCCTGTTCTGAAAGGCCC